TAGTGAAGAGGACAGGTAGATTTCAGTATAAAACAGACTTTTAAAATAAGGAAGAAATGAATAAAAAGTACAGGGTAACCTTAATAAATAAATAAATAAACCTTAACATCAAATTAGAAAAAGGAAAAGCCAAGACTGAAGAAATTAACAAGAAAAAGCACACACAAAAAGTGAATGCAGCACAGGAAAGCAAAGAATCCAACAGCACCACAAACATACACACACACACAGACAAAAAAAAAAAAGAAAAATGACAGCAATTAATCCATACCTATGTCGGAATCGACTCAAGGGCACTTCACAACATCAATAATTACACTGAATATCAATGGATTAAATGCACCAGTCAATAGACAAAGAGTAGCAGATTGGATAAGAAAACAGGATCCTTCAATATGCTGTCTACAAGAGTCACACCTTACAAAGACAAAAGTAAATTAAGAATTAAAGGAGGGAAAAATATGTATCTAACAAATTACAATTAAAAATGAGCAGGAGTGGCAACATTAATTTCTGATAAAATAAACTTTAAGGCAAAAACCAGCATAAGAGATAAAGAAGGACATTTTCTCATGATTAAAGAATCAACTGAACAAGAGGACATAACCATAATAAATGGCTATGCTCCCAACAAAAGAGCCTCAAAATACATAAACCAAACCCTAGTAAAGGAGATTTGGTAACATAGTGGTTATGAGTCAGGCTCAAGGTCAGCATTTAGAAACTACCAGCTGTCTGTCTGCTCCCATAAAAATTTATAGCCTCGAAACCTTACACAGGTAGCTGAGTCAGAACCGACTCCACAGCACATAACTACCAACCACCATGGGTCAGAACCTACTTGACAGCACTTAACAACAAAAATGGAGTGCTAGAGTCCTGGTGTGGTGCTGTAGGTTAATGAGTTGGACTGCAAGGCACTTTTAAAATGCAAAGTAGGCAGTTCAATCTCACCAGCCATGCCTTGGAAACCCTATACAGGGTTGCTATGAGTCAGAACTGATGACTTGATGGCACTCAGCAACAATTAAGTAAATGGATAGAGTCCTGGTGTGGCACTGTATGATAAGCACTAGACCACAAGGTCAATTTGAACTGAATGGTTGGTGATTCAAATCTACCAGCAGCTCCTCAGAAATTCTATGCAGACTTGGAACCAACTTGTCAGCACTAAACAACAACATTAAGTAAATTGGAGTCCTGCTGTGGCACTGTAGGATAAGCACCAAACTACTAACCAGAAGGTCTGCAGTTCAAACCGAGCAGCTGCCTCAAGAAACCTATACAGGGTCTCTTATGAGTCAAAACAGACTCACTGACACGTAACAACAACATAAAGCAAATAGCCCTGGTGTGGTACCATAGAATAAGCACTGGACTGGTGAGCCTAAAATCCAACAGCTGCTCTTGGAAACACTCTACCAGGTCCCTAGAACCGACTCAATGGCCCACAACATTAAGTGAAAAAGATGTCACAGCAGCACATTGGTAAAGCACTTAACTGCTAACCAAAGGTGGTGGTTGTTGTTAAGTGCTGTCGAGTTGTTTCCAACTCATAGTGACCCTGTATAGGGTTTCTGTGAAGCAGCTGGTGAGCTTGCAGTTCAAACTGACATTGCAGTCCAGCGCATTTACCCACAGCACCACACCAGGACTCCGACCATAGGTAGTCAGCTCAAATCCACCAGAAGCCCATGAGAAAAAAAAGATCTGGAGATCTCCTCCCATAGATTATAGTCTGGGAAACCCTATGAGGGTACACTCTGTCATAAAGGGTAGCAAAATCATAATTAACTCACTGGCACAAAATAGCAATGGTAGTGGTGGTGTGCTATACAGTAGGTTCTGACTCACAGTAACTCCATATAAGGTTTCTGAAGCTGTCAATCTTTACAGGAGCAAAAAGCCTTCTTTCTCTCCAAAGGAGTGACTAGTAGATTCCAACTATTCGAACAGTCAATTTTGCAGTTAGCAGACCAGTTTGTAATCCACTATGCTACCAGGGCTTCTTGCATAATATCTAACAACATATTAAGTAAAAAATTCATTAAGTCAGTGTCTTAATTATCTAGTGCTGCTAACAGAAATACCCCAAGTGGATGGTTTTAACAAACAGAACATTTTATTTTCTAACAGTTTAGTAGGCTATAGTCTAAATTCAGGGTACTAGCTTCAGGAGAAGCTATTTCTGTTAGCTCTGGGGAAAGTGCCATGGGCTGCCAAAAGAACAAAAAGATCTGTGTTGGAAGAAGTGCAGCTGGAGTGCTCCTTGGAGGCCAGGATGGCCAAACTTCATCTCTTATACTTCAGACATATTGTCAGGAGGGACCAGTTGCTGGAGAAGGAGATCATGTTTGGTAAGGTGGAGCATCAGAGAAAAAGAGGAAGACCCCCACAGAGATGGATTGGCAAAGTGGCAGCATCAATGGGCTCAAGCGTGGCAAAAATTGTGAAGTTGGCTCAGGACCAGGCAGTGTTTTATTCTGTTGTGCATAGGGTCGCTATGAGTCGGTACCGACTCGATGGCACCTAAGAACAACAACAATTCAATCCACAACAGGCAAGCGTTTTATTAAATGCTAAACTCCTAATAAAGTGCAGTCTAAAGAATAGAGCTAGCACAAAGATATTCTTCACAACACAAAGGAAGCTGCTTAAGTGTTTATCAGTTAAGTAAAGCAGCATAATTATGGGACGTTTATAAACAGACTTCGAACACAGGTTTTTGTTAAATGTCGTCGAGTCAGTTCCGACTCACAGTGACCCTATACAGGGTTTGCAAGGAGTGGCTGGGAAGCTTGAACCACCAATCTTGCAAATCAAACAGTCCTTGCAGTCCAGCACATTAACCCGCAGAACCATACCATGACTCCCTTTTGAATTTTGTTGTTTGGCTGAACAGCAAGGAAGAGATTTCCTTGTGAAGTGATCAAAATATTCTGGAACTAGATAAAGAGGTGCACAACATTGTGAATGTACTAAATGTCAATCAATTGTTCACTTTAAAATGGTTAATTTGGTTATGTAAATCTTACTGCATTAACAAAACATGAGTAAGTTTTGGACAGACATTTCAACAATGACGTTAAAAGAATGGCAAATAAGCAAAAGAAAAGATCACCAACACCATTAGTTATTAACAAAATGTAAAATCAAAACCACTGTGGGATGCCACTTCACACGCACTTGTTGTTAAGTGAAGGAGAGTCAGTTAAAGACTCACAGCAACCCTGTATAGAATTTCCAAGGAGTGCCTGGTGAGTTTGAACAGCTAATCTTGGTTGAGATTCAAACCAACCTTGCAGTACAGCTCATTAACCCAGAGCCCCACAGGATGGCTGTAATAAAAAAGACAATAGGTAAAGATGTAAAAAAACTGAAATTCTCACATAAATCTGGGACCTGAGGTGGATATAAAATGGTACACCAACTTTGGAAAAGAGTTTGAGAGTTTCTTACGAAGTTAAACATATACAACAGGGCTTTAAAAAGTTCGTGGAAAACATTCTATTCTGTTTTAATTCCATTTTTCTATGAATTTTTTTGAAGACTCTGTTGTTGCTGTTAAGTGCCATCGAATAGGTTCCGATTAATAGCGACCCTGTGTAAGGTTTCCGAGGAGCAGCTGGTGAGCTTGAACCACTAACCTTGCAGTTCAAACAGCTTTGCAGTCTGGCACATTAATCCACTGTGCCACACCAGGACTCCTGAAGACCCTATTGTTGTTAAGTGCCATCAAGTCGATTCCGACCCACAGTGACCCTGTATAGGGTTTTCCAAGGAGCAGCTGGTGAGCTTGAACTACTGACCTTGCAGGTCAAATGACTTTGCAGTCGGACACATTAGACCACAGCGCCACACCAGGACTCCTGTAACCTAGCAATTCTACTCCTTAAGTGTCTCCTCCAAAGATATGACAATAAATGTCCACACAAAGTTACTTGTATGGAATGTGTCTAGCAGCATTATTCATAACAGTCAAAAACTAAGAAACAAATATAAATAAACAAAATATACAGCTCATCTATATAATACACAACTACTTATGTAAGGAGCTTATAAAGGAATGAACTATTGATACATGCAACAACACAGAAAAACCTCAAAAACATGATAAGCCTAAATATGATAGGATTCCACTTACATGAAATTTCTAGAAAAGGCAAAACTATAGAAATAGAAAGCAAATCACTGGTTGTCTGGGACTTGGGGTGGGAATGGGACTGGCTTTAAACTAGAACAAGACAACTTTTTAGGTTGATGGAAATGTTCTATAACTGGACTGTGGTGATGATTGCACAACTGTGCCAATGTACTAAAATTCACTGAGTAGTACACTTGAAATTTATGACTTATAAAGTATATAAAATTCTACCAGCATAAAGCTGCTAAAAAGGAAAGTTGGGGGTTGAGGGAAGTATACACAATGCTTAGGGGGACAATGAACTTTTATGTTAAGACCAATGGAAAAATTGGGGAAAGGTTAATGGTGATAACTGAACAAGAAAAGGAACAAAACTGCACATGTAACTACTGTTAAAACGGTAAATGCCTTTTTATCTATATATTTACTACAATAAAAAATATATCTATATATACGTATGAAAGATCACAGGAGTCCCTGGATAGTACAAATGTTTGGTTAATGTGTTAAGCTGTTAACCAAAAGGTTGGAAGTTCAAGTCCACCCAGAAATGCCCTAGAAGAAAAAAGTCTGTTGATCTACAAAAAAAATCAGTCACTGAAGACTCTACTGAGTATAAGAAAGAATTATGTTAAAATGCTAAGGACAGATATTAGAATGCTGTGGGAGTACAGATTTACTAATTCCAAAATTTTCTAAAATGTATTTATGTTTATTTAATAGTGAAAATATATAATATTTTAGGAAAACCCATAAATGTTATAATCCTCAGAGTTGAACGGCATGCCATTTATACTGCCAAATAAATAGTAAGCATTTCAATTTCTTTTTAATTACTGTAAAAATAAATACTAACCTTCCAGCTAGCAGTACAATGCCAATCTCCATTTTCACTTTTATCCCAGACCTATAAAAAAAAAACCAGGTATTTACATGAAAAATTACTACAGATTAATAGCAAAAAACTTTGAGAATGAAATCTGTATATGGGCAAAGGATGAGAAACATATTATTACTATTTTTTTTATTGTGAATTATGTGATAGTTTACATGGGAGAACATTAGTTTTACATTCATCCTATCGTGTATCATTTCATTGCCATGGTTACAATCCCCTCCATGCATCATCAATCAACCACAGGGTATCCACTCCAAGCCTGCCCCCTAGTCATCAGTATACAACCCCTCTCCCTCTGGTTCTAAAGTCCCCAGTCGCTCCATCGCTCCATCTCTCACGTCATCATCTCTGCCTTCATCTCTGGTGTCACTGCTTCTCTGGGTAGGGTCCCACCTTTCGCTCTTCTGCCTTGATGGTCCCAGGGACCTCTGATCCTAGACTGCAAAGTTAATCACTCCCCTCCTTTTGCTACAAAACATCTACCTTTACATTTTCATCCCTCATAAGCAGTCCTGATAATAATTATTCACTATTGTATCACAAGAGACCTATCCACATTTCCTTTCATCAGCCATGCCTAGACAGATAGGATACTACTCAGTGGAGATTCTACCTTCCTCCACCCCCTCTGGATCTAGGTTCCCTCTTGAAAGCTTGTAAGCGAGTCACTTCTTGCCTTTGTAGCCCCCCCTTGTTGGGTAGCCAATGTTCAAGTTGCCCATCCCTGTCTACTCTGTGTATGGAGGGGGTGGGAATGATCCTTGCTGTAAAGATTTGTTCCCTCTTTTGAGCTACTCCATCCATAGGCGT